ATTTTTTATTTTATATATAATTTTTTTTTTTTAATTACTACTAATGAACAGGGATCCTGGTTTTCTCCGATTTTGAAAAATCCCCAATTTTCAGTTTAAAAAAGTAACCCCAAATCCACATTTTTCCATAATTAAAATGAAACGCCACTAGATATAGCTATTGATATAGATGAGTGGTGTTTCATTTAAATCACAGAAAAATGTGGATTTGGAGTTACTTTTTTAAACCGAAAATTGGGGATTTTTCTTTTAAAATCAGAAAAAACACAAGATCCCTGCTAATGAATGACATAAAAGAGGATGTGCAGAATAACCAAATTACAACTTCGTGGAAGATTACTTAAATTTTGTAACAGCCTGCCTTTCATAAAAACTTGCTGTGTTGATACAAGCTTTTGCTGTTTAAAGCATACTAGCATCAAGTCAGCACTCCTTGGCTTTCTTTTTTTTATCTACATTACTATGGTGATGTAGCAGTGCTCCTCCACGAAGGCAGCCTTTGATAATCTTATGGGTGAAAACTGATCTTTATCATTCCATTTTATGAAACAAGAATGTCTAGTGCTCGGCAGACATAACAGTTTAAGTAAAAGATCAGCAGTCTCACTGTGATACCACTGCAAGGAGATTCAGAACTATGACTGAAGTCTTATCAGTTGACCTATGCCTGGGTGCTGGTTTATACATTTTTCCCCCCAGGTGGCTCATTCATAATGCTTTAAGTCCACCCCCTGGGATCCAGTATCCAAGGTATCACTTCCAAGTGGGGGTGCACGCACACAGATGTCGAAAAATGAAACAGTCTGCAGTGATCCTCTTAAACTCGTTGTGTCTGAGGTGCATGTTTACACTCATTGCAAATGCTCTGCCAATTAGAGACACCAACTAGTAGAACACACAACAGAAACTTTGATGTTAAAAAAATCATTGGAGATTAATTGATGTAGAACAGTAAGTTGTTGGTCTGAAGATACTTGCTCCATCTGCACAGAGAGCAGAGTCAGTCCAACAACTGCTTGCTCGCTCTCTCTCTCACACATACCCACCCTGAATTTTTAGTCTGAAGCCCATGTGATAATTGCAGATATAATGCCATACAGCATAAGTGGAATCTATGGGAGAAACCTTCATTATTCTGATTGGTTTTTAATAACTTAATTAAATCCTTATATATCTAATAGCCATAGTTTATGGTATTCAAAGTGATATTAATTTTAAGTATGGACATACATTTTTATTGCTGGGTTAAATTTCCTCTCTTCCCCATTTAAAGCTCCACAGTAAATCCCCCGAGTCAGTTTCAACCACTATTTTACACTGCTGAGTTCTGCCAGCAATCTGCTCATCATTCTAGCAGATGTTTGTTTTCAGGCCACTGGGAACTTTATTGGACCTATTTCCTTTTAATATATTTATACAGTTTTTAGGCTGTAAATGTTCTAAGTGAAACCATTGTCCTCAACCCCCTTTCCCTATTTGCCTCTCTCAAAGCAGAAGCTTGAAATTATGTATTTAAAAAAGGCAGCATTGTCTTTGAAAATTTTCTGAAAAGGAAATGCTACTGATTTGCAGACACTGGGACCATCTGCAACAATTCAAATATATAGACCTTTCACCTTCATGAACACAAAATGTCACTCAAGGGCAGACTGCCTCAAAGGTCAGTTTCTGCAAACAGAAAATGATTTCCCACATCTGACGACTTTTTTTTTTAAGGGAATAAAGACATTAAAGCACTAAATCACCACCTATCCTCTTTCTAATGAAAGAGGACATCACATTCTCTGCTTACCTCAGTAACATCCATGACTTTGATGGCTGCCAGTTGACCTGTTTTGACATGTCGGCCCTGAAAAACAGAAAGGACAGTCAGCACCATCAATCACTGGAGCCACGTAAACATATAGAGAGCAGAACAGTTGCAACAAGACATTCTAACACTAGATTTCCACATCCCTGCCTGCTTGTAACCTTTCATTATTTCATGTTCAGGAACAAAAACTGAATGCTCTAGAGAGTGCATTCTAAATGTTGTCCATTCTGAAAAAGGGATCTTAGGAGCATGTTTTAGTAAAGCAGAGTAAAAAGTTAATTAATTAACAACATAAAAGCATCCAAGACAGACATCTAAAAACAGGACATTTTATTTAGCTTTGTCTCTACTGACTAAAGATGGGGGTTCCTTGCAACAAGATCACAAATGCACAATAGCTTGCTTACTATAATGTACAAAGTGCACCTGAAGTGTTTACTATGTGCTAGCCAGGCAAGATCATGACTATACTTTTATCTGTAGCTGGGATCACCCAGCTGCCCTGCACAAAAGTGCTGCCCCCCGCCATATTTTTACAAAAAGATAATTAAGGTGCATTAACGATTCCATAGTAAAAACAAACACCATTAGAGGTATGTACAAAAGTTGCTTTTTTTGACATTTAAAGCGCTTTATCGCCTTAACTTAACAGAATTGCACAAATTTACACCACTTTAAAAATGGGTAGAGTGTTTTAAATTAACCCTTGTTAAATAAGGTATTAAAAATTTGAAGCGCTGTATTTTACAGCTACAGTGCTTTAAATGACATCTGTATGCTGGACAAATTTCTGACCCGTGGAGAAGCCCCAGGAGGCTGCAGAGCATGCCCTGCATCTTAGCCTGGAAAATGCAGGGACACTCAAAGCCCCGCCCCCCAAACACTGCACTTCCATCATGTTTAAGAGCACTGTAACTTTTTAATGCTTTAAAAAGTGCTCTACATTACAGCGCTATAAAACGTGCATGGAGCATTTCTGTACATACCTTAGGGCAACAAGCTCTTATTAGGGGTACTGGTGTTCATCATATGCCCAATTTTGTTTCCAAGCAGACCCCTTACTTATAGAAACCCACCAACACAGGATAACCTGCCAAGGAACCTGCCCCCTTCTTCAAGCCCACTTTGAAATGCGCTACTTTGAACCAACCAACAAATTCAAGTCATTAACCTAGGCAAACTTTGACAAACCAAGCCTCTAAGTTCTCTCTTATTCCCCAAGTGCCTACAAATATCCCACACCCATCCCTGAACTAACCAGCAAACATTCCCTGTCCCCAGTTTGTACGTTTTTTGGAGCAGAAACTGTAGTTAAGAGCCTCAAAGTTAGTAACCATCTTTGTTGACCAACTTGATGCATCTGTTAACAAAGCCGCCTTTTCTTAGTAACCTCTCAGCCTTTCTAAACTCTCTCAAGATCAGCACTCCAAAATTAAGGCAAAGGCATTCTTTCCCCTCCCACCCAAAAGGCACCATTCTCCTTTTGAAAATTGTGTAGCTAGCCCTGACATACCTTGACTTCATCTTCTATCTAAGCAAAGTCCTTCAATCAGTAAGACCACAAAAGGCCCAACCAGTCCTACGTAGCCCCATGGCCTAGGTTCGCTAACAATGGCTACACATGGGCTGCTGAAGACAAAGCCCAAATTGGGCCCAGGGCCGCCACCTCTTGCACACTGGAGAAGATGAAAAAACAAGGGACTGGGAGAAATACAAAATGGAGAGAAAAAGTGGAAGAAAGGGTGGGAGGGGAAGAAGAGAACACACACTAAAAGATGATATGGGGAAGGGGGGCACAAGGCCAGATTCAAAAGAGGAAACGGAGAAATGGAGAAAAATCAAATAGGCAGTTACTAGCAGCAGGAAAGTATGAGCTTGGAAACAGAAGAAACAACAGACCAAAAATGTGTGGCATATAGAAAGGGAAGACTGATAAAAAGTTGCAAAGCATACACACAAGACACCATTTATTTGATGTACAAGTTCCCTTTATTCGCTAGTTTAAACTGATGAGCCTTCCTGCTGGCCTTCCTTTTTCCAGAGAAGAGGCCTGAAATTTCCCAGAACTCAGTTTCCCAGCTTTCGCCAACAAGAGGCGCTATCCCCCTCCCCGTGACGCTGGCTCACTCCACATAACCATAGCATGCAGCATCCTAACTTCCTTTTGAGAAAAAGCTGTCTTTTCCTTGCAGCATTAAGAAAGCCTGCTGGTGCCTCTGCTGCTTCTTATCATATTTTGGCCACAAGAGCAACAGCAAAGTGCAGCTAGCTGTTGCTTCAACAGCAGGGACGAGAAAGGCTTCAACAAAACCCTCCTAAGGGACTGCAAAGTAAGGGAATAGCAGACTGTGGGAAGTGTGGGATTCCCAGTATCCCAGGCCAAAGTTAAGCCCCCCTTCATGTTCAGAATGTTGTTTGAGTTATCTCAAATACCTTCTTCATAACGTATGGCATATTTCAGGTCCTTGGTATACAGAATACACATGGGATCTCTTTGTATATAAAAATTGGTTTATAATGCATTAAAACCACAGAAGCTTTTTCAAATAGGGTTTCTTTTCTTTTATTAGAAACATTTAAAAAGAAAAAAAACAAACAAACAGATCCCAAACCACCATATAAGCACAAGCAGAGCTTTTCTGTCTGTTTATCTTCTACAACGCTCCATTCAAGAACAGGCTTGTTAGAACGTAAGACTGCTGCTGTAACTTTATCTACAAACTCAAGCATTTAGGGATTCCTATTTTGGAAACTGCTCTTCAGATCATTGTCATCAAGATTTTGTTTTGGGGAAGTTGATCAAAAAAAAATCAGAGTGATTTTAGCGCTATCAAGGATTAGAGAAACTGAAGATGGACAAAACCCTACTACGGTGATTATCAACTAGGGTGCCACAGCACCCTGGGATGCCTCGAGTGTCTGTCAAGGGGTGCCACACAATGTTAGTGCTGTTAGGTGCACAAACATGATTCACAAGATAAAAGACTTCTAAATAGGAATACATAGTGTTTAAAACGTTCTGACCTGTTGCAGTCTTTCCAAGTTCCTTGCAACAGAATAATTCTTCTATTATTTTTTTGTAGTCAAAAACCAAATGAAAACTAAGAGCTGGCATTTTCCAAAGGTCTTTGCTAAGGTTGAGAACCACCAACCTACTGGACTGTTCACTTTCTCCCCGACAAGATCAGGAGTGCACATGAAATTCACAGCATCTGCTGAAGTAGACTGTCGCCTACAAACGCTTATGCCTTTCTGAACGAGTTAGGCCCAAGATGCCACTCTGTCCTGCCTTCTGCCTGAATCAAAACTAACATAGTTAGCACTATAGCAAGCTCATAAGCCTCACCCACTTTACCATGCTTATAACAACAAGTCAGAGCACTGGTTCAGAACCAAGGTGCCAGAGCACCCAGAACCCACCAGGAGTGCTGCAATGCTGGCATGACCACCGTGACCACCATGGGGTGAAATTGCCCCATGTACATTTGTTTTCAGGAAGTGCATCAGAGCCAAACTAACAAGTGGGAGACAACATAAGGTCAAACCAGGAAGGGCTGCAACGAGTGCATGCTCCCGCTATACCTGATTCCTAATCTGGCTCTGCAGGAAGCACATGCCACAATTCCACCTGGCTGTGGTGGCAGTGGGGTGCATATAATATAGTTATAATGACCTAATCAATTGCTAGCATTAGTTAACGATGCATATTTACATTATGTTTTTAAGGGGGTGCCGCTATATTTTAAAATGTTTTAAGTCTAAAAGGTTGAAAACCACCAGATTAAAAGAAGCCCTTTTATGCCATCCTATGGTCCATAAACTATGGTACCTAGGTATGAACACAAAATGATTAAAAACTAGACACAAACTCAAATCACATTAACTGGGAGCAATAACACTAAACAAGTCTCTAGGTCAGGAGTCGGCAACACTTTTGGGCACAATGCCAAAACCAGCAGCGACCTCAACTTGTAACATGTTGGCATGCCACAGGTGGATGGATGGTGGGGAAACCGTGAGGGGCCCAATCCTTGTGGCAGCACAGCCCCAGCCTTTTCCCTGCTGTGTACCCCAAGATGCGTATGCCAAGCAAAACACCTTTGCGTGCCGCAATCTAGCACCTGTGCCAGGGGTTGCCTACCGCTGCTCTACATGGTTTAAAAAAAAAAAATTGTAGGTTTAGCATGGCTGACCCCTATCCATAAAAGTCATTCATACAATTTCATACTGTGTAGGTCATTTCAGCAAGTCTACTGATAAAATCTTCTACTTCTGTACCATATGCTTTTTCTAATGAACCCATTCCTTTCTTTTTTCTTCCCTTGCTTTCTTTTGTATTTTTATTCATAATAAAAGTACTCCTTTACCCTCCCTGAGAAGGAATGCAAAAATATTTTTGAAGAGAATTACTCAACGGTTCCAATTTTAAATCATCCGCTGGACAATTTTAAATCACTGTCTCAGCTCAGCTGAGATGAGGAGGTCAGTGGAGTTGAACCTACTTCCAAGTCTTAATCTGGCCTTATTTTTTTTCTTTTATTGTTGTCAGAAAGTCCATTTACATATGGAGGATTAAAATGTGTCTTCTAATCACACATGCTTCATGGAGAGTTAAACACATTGCAGCGTTTAACTGAATCACATGATGCTTAAACATGCTCCCAATAGAGCCTCCTAGCAGCCTGCTGTTTGTTTCTCATCTCTGTGGAGTTTAAGATACATGCACTTAACGGGAGGAAGGAAGGAGCAGAATCAAATCAAATATGTTGTTCTTGGTAGGCTGCCAGGATATGTACAATACTGTGAATTTCAAGCTTACCTATAGGAGTAAGCAAACCCCCTTCTCACCTCAACACATTACTTTTGGGAAGGGTCTTTACAAAAAAAAGAAGAGTTTTTGGTTTTTTGTTTTTTAAATAAAAGTGATTCAGTACTATCAATAAATTACAGGAATTAAAAGGTAGAAGGTCTAATGCCCTATTTGATCATTCACGCCCTCCTCACTATGTTACAAAAACTGTATACTCAATGCAGTG